AAATTCTTTCAAACAAATTTTCGGATACTTTTTTTTAAAAACATCTTTTGACGAGGGAATATTTGCCACGTCAAAATTAGTTTTTTCTCACGGCACACCAGTGTGCTACGGTAAACCAGTTGCGGAGCTCTGAGTATGATTTATCAGGCCGGATGAGTTAAAGTCCACCGAACTTACATTAAAACTGAATGAAAATTGAAAACAGCCCAGAACGATAGGGCAAGGTTGCTAAGCCTGGAGGGTTATAAATTATGGTCCAACAATATTGATGACGTCAATAACACGGCATTATGTAAATTTACATGCTTTTCCGTTTCCGTTACTTTGGACGCCAAAACATTTCAACTGTAGAAAAATACCATACCAAACAGTCGCAAATTCATTTCAAACATGTTAATAAAGGTATGTGGTTAGTGACGTTTTGTCAGCATTAATTGATAACATTCATTCATTTGACGCCTAGAATACTAATATACTTTAAATATTTATTAGATGGTTATATTCGAGTTGGAGAAGTAGTTTGAGTTGGCTGAGGTTTTTTAAAAAGTTGTTGCCTGAGTATTTTTAAGCCGGCTCCTTTAAGCCATTTTGGACATATTAGTCCAACCTATGTTAATGTTTTTATTTTATATAAATTTTTATATAATTAGAATTAATTATTTATTATAGTCAAGCACTTACTACTTAAACTTAATATAATACATATGCCTATGTTACTGTTTAGTGGAAATGCTACTTAAATTTTAAGTAAAATTTAAACTTAAATTTAGTTGGCCAATTATTCATTTGCACATTACATATTCATATAGGAGAATTAAATCAAAGGCTATGTATCATATCAAGGAAAAATTATAGTGCAAACTCAAGATAATATTCAAATCCAAAGTCATAATCACAGTGGAGGATACTATAGGTCCAAACGAAATTTTTTTGTAACAGATCCCACCAAGGGGAGGGATACAATCAAAGTTCAAAGCGTTGAAATTAAAATATGATAGAGATTATTTAACTTAGACTAATAAATAATAAACTGTAGTTACAACTATATGCAAAAAGTTAAAGCCACACTGGCCGGGATTGACAATGGCTGCTTTTAAAGTTAATTTTAAATGGTGGTTTCGCCTGGGTCCTACCTTCTATTTTTGTTTAAGTGTAGGCCTTTATTATTATAACTTTAGCTGTCAAATAGGTCAGCATTGAGCTTGTTATTTTAAGTCATCGTGCATCATCAAAAGAAAATATCTCTCAAATTTAGCCATTTGATGACTATCCCTTAGTTGACAGCTTTTTTTTTCTAATTCACCCCCCTTTTTTAGAACTAATATTTCAATTTAACTAGGTCAAAATAAAAGATTAAATGACTTGTATAGAATTATTTGCCAATTATTTCCGAATCCCATAGCATTAAGTAGTAATTGATAATAAAATTAAATTATGCTTTGTGTCATTTGCACCAAAAATGGTGCTGACCCTATTTGAAGAACTAATTGCTACCATGGGCTGACCGCCTCTTCCCTCCTATGCTACTGGACTGATTAAAATGCAAGTTTGTTTGTAAATCTGTAATATTTTAAATTATTAAATTGTAATAATTTCATTTAGCAAAATGCTTAAACTTTTGAATCTAACATTTTTCCTTGCACACATGAGGAGTAAAATCATTTCAAATCCAAATTTCATTCGCACTAAAAGAAAATGAAGCCAAAACGTACAAAAAGTAAAGGAGGAAAAGGGGATGATGATACCAACTTGGATCCCATTCCACCAATTCACAACTTACTCATAGATCTTCGAACATTAACAAAAGATGAGGAAAACAGTATTGTCCAAGTCATTCAAAGGGATGAGAGAGAGATGGAACGAGTTGATGCCATCGTGGGGTAGGATTTTTACTTAATGAATATTTTTGAAGTAGATAGCCTGTGGGAATAGAATTTTAAAATTTGTGTTCCACTTCAATGATTTATTCTTTTAACAACACAGGAACCTATGACCAATAATCATTGGACCAAAGTCATTAGGCTTTGAATATTCCTTTAACAGTTCATCTTGCTAATTTAAACTCACTTAGATTAGAGTTGAGCTCCCTAATACTACACCATCCATCATACATTTATTATGAGTTTTATCATGTTTATGAGTAATGAGTTATAATATAATATAACTTTGGTCTACTGTGAGTTTAAGGAATTATTTTTTTTACCCTTTTTAGTTTTGGGGAACAATGGCAATGCTTTCATCTAGATAAATATCCTCAGCACTCTCCGACAAGAGATTGAAATGATTCGATCGTGGTCCAAAAACAAACCACCAGATCCAAAGTGGCAGTTAGCATACACATGTGCTCGCTGCAGGAGAAAACTTCCTTTCTGGAAGAAAGCAGTACCCTACTTTTTGGATGGGGGAAGATATTGTATGCGGTGTAAGATGCGAATCTGCAGAAGTTGTAGAATAAAACAGAGCAATGGAATATATATGTGCAACCTATGTGTACGTTACAGGTTAGTTATATTTTTTTTATTAATTATCTTTTTATAGCACATGTTTCACCAGCCATTCATGAATTATCATTTTCAGATATAACAAAAACAACTATGATATTATTACTAGAAATTTTTCCAAACCCACAAGACTAATCATAAAGACCAACCACAGCAATAGCCTACTCCCGCTAGACTAATCATAAAGGCAAACCATAGCAATAGCCTACTCCCGCTAAACTAATCATAAAGGAAAACCATAGCAATAGCCTACACACATTAGACTTATCATAAAGACCAACCATAGCAATAGCTTACTCTACCTCCAATTATATTGGGGCATAACAAAATTTACTGCTGTAGAAATAAAACCTTAAGCAATGGAAACATAGTAGTTAGTTCAGAAAAGAAACTAAATAATTTAATGGGGGGGGGGGTGGGGGGGGGACTGAAAAACTGGTATTCCAAAATTTATTTCAATGAATGGCATTGTCTATTCTTTGCACGTTTATGTTTAGATAACTGTTTAGACCTGAACTATATATCAATTTTATTTATGATATCAAAATTGTCTGAGATATTTTTTATTTAATCCATCTAAAAAATATGTTTGAACAAAGTCTGCTTTCTTTCTTTTTTTAAGAGAAGAAAAGTTTCTTACTGGTGACTGGATTGAGTCAGGTGCCAGTTGTGGGTTACATGGTACAGACTTGATCAAAGTTTCCCTTCAAGCCAGACGTAAGTTGGTATTTTTACTCTTTCAAACAAAAATTTCAAGAACTTAATGCACTGTTTTTTTTTTATCTCCTCGATTGTGTCCAATTATTGTGCCATGGATTCCTCATTTATAGAGGTCCTTTAACGTTATTTTGGTTTCCTCATCTATAGAGGTCCCTTAAGGTTATTTTGGTTTCCTCATTTATAGAGATCCCTTAACATTAGTTTGGTTTCCTCATCTATAGAGATCCCTTAACATTAGTTTGGTTTCCTCATCTATAGAGATCCCTTAACATTAGTTTGGTTTCCTCATTTATAGAGGTCCCTTAAGGTTATTTTGGTGTCCTCATCTATAGAAATCCCTTAATGTTATTTGGATTGACATCACATTCTATAAAAGACAGTATTTCAGAGTTATAAAAAGCCTTTTTTATAAGATTATTGGCAAACATTTAACTGAGCCTTTAAATGATCAGCTACTGCATGTGGCATTCAGGACACTGTTTTACGACCTGTGATTGATTTCCTTTTGAAAGAACACGAAATAAAAACACAAATTAAACATTGTTTAATTGATGTAAAAAAACAGACATGTATTAGAGTCAGTGATTAATGTAAGTAGATACCAAACCATTTATAGGAACCTTTGTGTTATTTATTGTGGCCAGTCTTGCTCATATTAATCTTAGTACAGGTTAACTAACTAGTGCATCACATAGATATTTGTGGAAATGAATGGCCAAGTCAGGGCTCTTCACGCATCACTTTACTTTTATTATTGAAAGCGAAGTCACATAAATATCTTCATAAATGCATATTGTCTCAATTCACACAAGATGAATTTTAGAATACTAATTCAGCATGGCTCAATACAAATCCATTGATGTTCTCAATGATATGATGCTACTCAGAACTCTGTAGGGATCCACATATAATGCTACTCAGAACTCTGTAGGGATCCACACTCATGAATTGACCTATTGAGGTCAACGCTATCAGCGATCATAAATTTATGACTGCTTTATCACACAGCTGGTGAAGAAGGTAAACATTTCAAGTATAAATAACCAAGTATGAACCACCCAACACCCAAGTATGAACCATCCAACACCTAAGTATATCAACAAAGGAAACCGTCCACTTGCCAGCTGGCACCTTAAATTTTACTGTAAATAGAATCAATTAATATTTTATTGATTTCCAGAGGTATGCATGTTAAGTTCAATTTTTTTTAACAAAACCTTTTTTTCCCCAGCCCTTTTTGTTGCGCGTGAAAAATCAGCTACTCCTGTTGTGAAAAAGTCTATATCACTTCTGTCTCTGAAGAAATTCAAAGGTTCAGACAAGGCGGAGAAAAAAGAAGCCAAAAAACCAGAAGTTAAAAAATCAAAAGAAAAGAAAGAAAAGAAACCCAAAGGTGCAAAGAAGAAAAAAGATGCCGGTGCCGCCAAAAAGGACAAGGCCAAAGGGAAAAAGGATGCAAAAAAAGGAAAAGGCAAGAAAGATAAGAAAAAGGGAGGGAAGGAAAAAAAAGGTGGCAAGGACAAAAAAGGTGGCAAAGACAAAAAAGGTGGCAAAGACAAAAAAGGTGGGAAAGACAAAAAAGGTGGCAAAGACAAAAAAGGGGGCAAAGACAAAAAAGGGGGCAAAGACAAAAAAGCTGGCAAAGATAAAAAAGGGGGCAAAGACAAAAAAGGTGGTAAAGACAAAAAAGGGGGCAAAGACAAAAAAGCCAAGAAAAAGGGAGGGAAGGAAAAGAAAGACAAGAAGAAGGGAGGTAAGAAAAACAAGTCAAAAAATGCAATGCTGGACAAAAACGTATCCCAGCTTCGTACAAGTGATGAACAATCTGCCGGTGAATGCTCAGAGGAAGAAGAGGATTTCAACAAGGAGATGCTGGCAGAAAGAGCAGAGGAGCAGAACTTTGATGATGAGGCCACCGCCTTTACCGACAAGCTGATTTCTGCCTCACAACTGCAAAGGTATCTGGAACATTATGGAGATTCAGGAGAATCCACCCGACGTCACCACCACCATTCAACCCCCAAAGCCAGCCATCTGAAGAGCAAACTGAAACTCTTAAATGAACAAAATGTTTCTGAAAACTGGTGCAGAGACTATGTGGAGAAATTACCTCTGCCACAAGAGAGCAGATGCCATGTCGAAGAGCCAGTCATTCAGTTACCTCAGAAAAACGCAAGCGATGGAAAAACCGATCTAGCTTCAAAGCTTGAAGTTTTGTACAAGTTAAAAATGACAAAAGACGAGTTGTTGAAGGATGCGACCATGTATCAAGAGGATAAGTCATCCAAGGCTTTAGATCTCTTAGTGTCTTCAATCTCTAACAAAATAAAACAACTAACCCAAGGGGGGCAATGCCTTACAACTGATGTTCCCGTGACTGACCCTTGTCCTAAAAGAAAAACCCTTGGAGGCGGAGATGTTCAGAAACATCTTGAGACCTGTGACGGATGTAAGATAAGTGAGGAAAGCAGAGAAATCAAACAGAAAGCTTTTCATCATTGGGCTATTTCCGAGATGGGCCAGAATTATAGAACAGTAATCCCCCAGGGCAAAGGGCAATTATCTAGATATTCAAAGGATGACCTGCAGGATACTAACCTTGACAGAAGTTTAAACCACCATAGAAACTGTAAAGATTACCGAAAGAATTCATATTTAGAATTAATCAATAGACAAGAAAAAGAGACCCAGAACTTGACAGACCCAGACAACAGCTCACATCAAGATGGAGATTGGGATTGTTCCGAAGGTTTCAAACAAAAAAAGAATCAGTTCATAAAGTTGAAACACCGCTACCGTTCAGAGTTAGGTGGAGATGAGAAAAGTGAAAAAGAATGTTCAAGCTATGAAGGAAATGGAACAGAAGGTAAAGGCAAAGTTCATCTGAATTTGGCAGAGCGAAAAATAGCAAAAAATTTAAGTAATAAATACCGTCGCTCTTCAAGTGAAGGTTACCATAAAAGAGGAAGGGAAAATCAAATATCGTCCTGGTCGACCCTGCATGACAATGATGACAAATATGAAGAGAGCGTCAGAAATAAATCTTTACACCATGGTCGTGGTGACCAAAATGGTTCCAAAAGATCACAATCACTGAAAGCAAAAAAAAATTCTAATAAGGGCCAAAGTCAAGGTCAATATTCCTCTGATGATTCCAATGACGGGGTTGATACTGAATGCTGCCACACGACCACATCACAGACCAGCTCTGTCGCTCCGCACGCCAAGCAAAGTGTCGTGTCAAAAACACCTGGTCGTTTCTTTGACAGGGGAAGTTCTCAGAAAGAGCACGTGGCATTCCAACAAGTCAGGACCCACAAAGTGAGGTCGCAGGGTGACAGGTCAAGGTCGCAGGGCGACAGGTCATGGTCTCAGGCAGATAGGGCTTTTCTGGAGGAGTCGAGGCACTCAACAGAAAAAGCAAAAACTAGACTAAAGCATGATGCCAACATGTCATCCTATTCTGAAATATCAGCCAAAATGAAGAAACAAAAGTCAAGGGCAGATTTAAATTACAATTTCCAGCCTCGATCAAAGGACAAAGGTGAGGAAGATAAGTGACTTTGCTGAAGTTAATTTAAAAATTCATCTTTATTTGAATTTGTTAATCTGTTTTTTATTGTTCAATGGCGATGAAAGTAAGTGGTTGATAAAAAAATTCTGTCATCCATCTAGGTCTATTTATAACTTTAAATAAAACAAATCAACAATTAGCCAACTAAATGAAATTAAATCACCTAAACAAACCTGACAAAAATAAAATTATAGGGAAGAAGTATTTGAAATAAGTTTTCTGAGTTAGAATTGAGTAATTTGAAGTGTACTTACAACTCAGATTCAGAAATTAATTCATATAAAAAAATTAGAATTTTTAATGTAAACTGAATTTTAGGTTTCAAATTTAACTTTTTTGTTGTGTGCATTAAAATGTTTTATTTTAGATTATGACTTTTGACTGAGATGTTATTTGTTCCATCAACACAACAAATTTTGATTTTTGATTTAGATGGTATTTTTTAAAATAAACACAAGTTATTTATCCCCCCATATTCCTTATGGACGATTATATTATTATAGTTTTGGAAATCGTAACGGCATTAACATATCCTGTGGGTAAATTTATACTTTACATAATTCAACATTTTTATAAAATAGTAATGATACTGAAAAAGAATCAAATTCTGATAAAAAGGTAGGCCTATTTTAAATGAACATTTCACCATGATTTGACCAGAGGGAGACTCGGGCCGGCCAGGCAAAGAAGGCCAACCGGGCGCACAACCCGGCGATGATCCCAAGGGCAAGAAAAGAAAGTCTGAGGCGGGGCCGGCAGGGCAGCGTAGAAAACACCACCATAGAAAGCATAGGGATAAAAGCGATCCTTCTAAGTCAAGGAGCAGCAGGCTGAGCAAGTCACAAGATGATATGGATTACACATCTGTCATGGTATGATATAGACATCTGTCATGATAGGATATAGACATCTGTCATGGTAGGATATAGACATCTGTCATGGTAGGATATAGATATCTGTCATAGTAGGATATAGACATCTGTCAGGGTAGGATATAGACATCTGTCATGGTAGGATATAGACATCTGTCATGGTAAGATATAGAAATCTGTCATTGTAGGATATAGACATCTGTCATGGTAAGATATAGAAATCTGTCATTGTAGGATATAGAAATCTGTCATTGTAGGATAGAGACCGTCCGAAAGTGATTTTCTGATTTCGGCCGAAGCCGAAAATAGGCCGAAAGTTTAAAATGACTTTCGGCCGAAACCGAAAAAATGCCGAAAGTTTAAAAATCTGTCATGGTAGGATATAGACATCTGTCATGGTAGGATATAGACATCTGTCATGGTAGGATATAGAGTGCAAATAACTACTAGTGTATAATAGCTATTGGTAGGCCAACAAAATTATGAAACTCACCTTTGTCATTCAGCCCCACTCAACAAAACTATGAAACTCACATATGCCAATCAATCCCATTCAACAAAACTATAAAACTCAAATAATACATATAATGACGTATTTAGTCCGTTGTGTCAACTCTATATCATTGATACTCTAAAAGGATGCTGTGAAAAAAAGAACAGCAGAGCTTGCGCAGCCTGAAATACCTGACCCCCAAGCAATGGAGCTACCAGGGGCACGTGGGGCTTCTTCTCGTGTTGTGTCTGTGCAGAAAGTGGGAGGTACGTTGAATTGTTTTGACGATGCAGAAAGTGGGAGGTACGTTGAATTGTTGTGTCTGTGCAGAAAGTGGGAGGTACGTTGAATTGTTGTGTCTGTGCAGAAAGTGGGAGGTACGTTGAATTGTTGTGTCTGTGCAGAAAGTGGGAGGTACGTTGAATTGTTGTGTCTGTGCAGAAAGTGGGAGGTACGTTGAATTGTTGTGTCTGTGCAGAAAGTGGGAGGCACGTTGAATTGTTGTGTCTGTGCAGAAAGTGGGAGGTACATTGAATTGTTGTGTCTGTGTAGAAAGTGGGAGGTACGTTGAATTGTTGTGTCTGTGCAGAAAGTGGGAGGTACGTTGAATTGTTGTGTCTGTGCAGAAAGTGGGAGGTACGTTGAATTGTTTTGACGATGCAGAAAGTGGGAGGTACATTGAATTGTTGTGTCTGTGCAGAAAGTGGGAGGTACGTTGAATTGTTGTGTCTGTGCAGAAAGTGGGAGGTACATTGAATTGTTGTGTCTTTTCAGAATGTGGTAGGTACGTTGAATTGTTTTGACCATGCAGAAAGTGGGTAAATTTAATTGTCGTGTCCTTTGCAGATAAAGGGAGTTAAGCTGAATAGTTTTGGCCATGCAGAGCATGGGAGATAAGTTGAACTAATTATATAGCTACACTAAACAAATAAACCATTATAAAAAAATGTCCTTAGGGATAGGTAGTTTTATCACTTGTTGTAATCTTAAAGATAATGTGTTTTATTGGAGCTCTGATGTCATAGAGTCATCTTATAGATAATGTTTTTTGTTAGAGCACTCATGTCATTAATTGATCTTTTAGATAATATGTTTAATTGAACGATCATGTCCTAGAGTCATTTTATAGATAAATATTTTATTGGAGCTCTCATGTCATAGAGTCATGGTAAAGGAAGAAAGGGTTCTATGTGTTCCAAAACATCTAAGTATGTGGGTGATTATTGGTTATCTTGATCAGGAAAGGTGTCTGGTTATTGGTTATCTTGATCAGGCGAGGTGTCTGGTTATTGGTTATCTTGATTAAGCAAGGTGTCTGTTTATCGGTTATCTTGATTGAGCAAGGTGTCTGGTTATTGGTTATCTTGATTAAGCAAGGTGTCTGGTTATTGGTTATCTTGATTAAGCAGGGTGTCTGGTTATTGGTTATCTTGATCAGGCAAGGTGTCTGGTTATTGGTTATCTTGATCAGGCAAGGTGTCTGGTTATTGGTTATCTTGATCAGGCAAGGTGTCTGGTTATTGGTTATCTTGATCAGGCAAGGTGTCTGGTTATTGGTTAGCTTGATCAGGCGAGGTGTCTGGTTATTGGTTATCTTGATCAGGCAAGGTGTCTGGTTATTGGTTATCTTGATCAGGCAAGGTATCTGGTTATCGGTTATCTTGATTGAGCAAGGTGTCTGGTTATTCGTTATCTTGATTAAGCAAGGTATCTGGTTATCGGTTATCTTGATTGAGCAAGGTGTCTGGTTATTGGTTATCTTGATTAAGCAAGGTGTCTGGTTATTGGTTATCTTGATCAGGCAAGGTGTCTGGTTATTGGTTATCTTGATCAGGCAAGGTGTCTGGTTATTGGTTATCTTGATCAGGCAAGGTGTCTGGTTACTGGTTATGAGAAAATTGATCTAACCTTGGAGTACCAGGAATAATATGATAGTTACAGAAACTTGATAATAACAGAGATAGTGACAAAATTGACAGCAGCAGGAAACATATGATTGTGACATAAACTTGATAGTGACAGAGATAGTGACAGTAATGTGACAGTACATGAGTAATATGATAGTGAAAGAAACTTGACAATAGCAAGAATAATATGACAGTGACAGAAACTTGATAGTGACAGAAACTTTTCTGTTTTGTAATACTATTTCCTTCCAATGTCTTGAAAGCAAGAACTGTCCAAGCATTCTCTTATATATTGTTATTTATTGAGCAACAACTGTCCAATGCCTTCTTGAAAATGCATTTTTTTTAAGCCATTGACAATTCTAAAAAAAAACAACAAGATAAGAGCTGGGTGATGGAGTCTGACACACAATTTCCAAACAATGTAAATGAATTAAATGGTCCCTTTTTGTGTCATTTTTGATTATCTCCTAAGTCAGGCCTGCACAACATTCAGCCTGCGGGCTGCATGTGGCCCGCGAGCACCCTTTTGGCGGCCTGCGAAGTAACAAAATATTCCTTATTATTATTATTTTCGTAATAGCTTTGCCCCTGTTCTTTTATCTTTCGTCCCACACAAGTTTTTCATTATAACGTATTATGGCCCGCACAAGGTTTTCTTAAAGTATTACGGCCCGCCATACATTTTGTGTTGTGCAGGCCTGCCCTAAGTTATTCTCTAAAGCAGTGGTTCCCAAACTTTTAAGTTTGGCGGACTGGTGAACGAGTTTAAAAATTTTACCAGGGACCGGTGCATGATTTATTTTTATACTTTTGTTTCTATTTGACAATAAATATTTATGTTATGGGGACCGGCAGTGTTAGGAATGCGGACCGGTGAAGGTCCACGGACCGCCATTTGGGGACCAATGCTCTAGAGCAGTGTCTTCCAAACTTTTAAGTTTGCTTGACTGGTGGGTCATTCTCTAGAGCAGCGTCTTCCAAACTTTTAAGTTTGCTTGAGCGGTGGATCATTCTCTAGAGCAGTGTCTCCCAAACTTTAAAGTTTGCTTGACTGGTAAAGAAGTTTTGAAACTGCGCCAGGGACCGGGGCCAGATTCATTTCATATATTTTCTTATTTGACCATAAATATTCATGTTGTGCCAACTGGCAACATAGGCTTGCGGACCAGCTGGTCCTGGCAACACCATTTGGGGGAACTCTTCTCTGTAGAAGATACAATGATGCATCATACTTTGATTTTATAGACTTTTAAAACAAAATTCATAAAAATGTTCTAGATTCTTGTTCTACAACATAAATAATCTAAGTATGAACTTTTCCTCAGAGCCCCAGAATTTAACGTCCACGCAGTCTATTGGCGCGCTTCCACAACCCTCACAACAGTTATCTCCCATGCAGCTGGCGGCACAACCTACGCAACCTGGTGCGTTGGCGTTGAGTCAGCTGAGCCCAGGAGTTCAAAAACCGCCGGTGGCAACAGCTAGTAAGGGTTCTCAAACAGAGCCGAGAAAGAAACCTCTAAGAGCATACTTGTGTCCTTTCTGCAAAATATCAATGGAACTGGGATTGGAATACTAACGGATGAAAAGGGGAGGACATCATCATTCCATTATCAATTATAAAGGTGAATTCAAGATAAGAAGTTAGAAGGCCAAGTAGAAAAAGAACTTAAGTGTATTGTTGCAGTTTTGAGAAAAATGAGTTTAAAGTTTTTAAATTCTTATTTAAATCCATTAAAAGCTGGTAGAGGTGACTCGGTATCAAACACTTAAGTGCATTTTTCATGTATGATATTTACAGGAATGATTCAAGGGAAAGAATAAAAAATAATGCCAGGCTTAACTCATTTTTGAAAAGTTGTAACTTAAGTACTTTTTTTTTTTCTATTCGGCTCTTCAGTTTGGCATCCGGAAATATCACTTTTATTGACAAGGATTTCTGTTAATACACATACTTAAATGTTGTGTAATATGTATGTGCTTGGTCTCTCCATTCACTCTTTTAATGTTGTGTAATATGTATGTGCTTGGTCTCTCCATTCACTCTTTTAATGTTGTGTAATATGTATGTGCTTGGTCTCTCCATTCACTCTTTTAATGTTGTGTAATATGTATGTGCTTGGTCTCTCCATTCACTCTTTTAATGTTGTGTAATATGTATGTGCTTAGTCTCTCCATTCACTCTTTTAATGTTGTGTAATATGTATGTGCTTGGTCTCTCCATTCACTCTTTTAATGTTGTGTAATATGTATGTGCTTGGTCTCTCCATTCACTCTTTTAATGTTGTGTAATATGTATGTGCTTGGTCTCTCCATTCACTCTTTTAATTTTGTGTAATATGTATGTGCTTGAAGCTCTCAACAACCAGTTATTGGCCTTGTGGCTCAGAGGTGACCTTGTGGCTCAGAGGTGACCTTGTGGCTTAGAGGTAACCTTTTGGCTCAGAGGTGACCTTGTGGTTCAGAGGTGACCTTGTGGTTCAGACGTGACCTTGTGGTTCAAAGGTTGCCTTGTGGTCCAGAGGTGGCCTTGTGGTTCAAAGGTGGCCTTGTGGTTCAGAGGTGACCTTGTGGTTCAGAGGTGGCCTTGTTACTTAGAGGTGGCCTTGTGGTTCAGAGGTGGCCTTGTTACTTAGAGGTGGCCTTGTGGTTCAGAGGTAACAGCTGTCATGTGATCATCTGTACATCATATAACAGCTGTCATATGATCATCTGTACATCATATAACAGATGGCATGTGATCATCTGTACATCATGTAACAGATGTCATGTGATCATCTGTACATCATATAACAGCTGTCATGTGATCATCTGTACATCATATAGCAGATGTCATGTGATCATCTGTACATCATATAGCAACTGTCATGAGATCATCTGTTCATCATATAGCAGCTGTCATATGATCATTGAGTTTATTCCTTGCATAAGAAACAATATTCTATTATCAATTATGTAGTTAAAAACAACAACCCCAATATGACATTTGATGCCATGAAACCTGAACCACAACATGACATTTGATGCCATGAGACCTGAACCCAAAATGACATATGATGCCATGAGACCTTAAGCCAACATGACATTTAATGACATGAGACCTAAAGCCAACAAGACAATTGATGACATTATATCTAAAGCCAACATGACATTTGATGCCATAAGACATAAAGACAACATGACATTTGATGCCATGATAACCTAAAGCCAATATGACATTTAATGCCATTGTAACCTAAAGCCGACATGACATTTGACCGAAAGAAATTTCGTACACGGAAAATTGATCGATGGAAATTTGATCGAACGGAATTTTTTTTTTTCAGTGCACATGTTAAAATTTTGCTTCAAATTTCTTTTTGAACACATTATTTTGTTTTACCATATAGTACATTGTGAACTGAAAAAAAGATTCTACCAAATTTCCGTTTGATCTAATTTCCATCAATTAATTTTCCGTCGACGAAATTTCTTAAGATCAAATTTCTGGTAACCAAAGCCAACATGACAATTGGTAACATGATAATCTAAAGCCAACATGACATTTGATGCCATGAGACCTGGACCCCAATATCATGTGTGCAAATGACACCAACATTTTTATTTCAGAGGAAAAACAAGTCTAGAGCTCAGAAAGAAAGGACATTTGGTTTGTAAGATGACTTCATGTCCTCATAGGTCTCATGGGCCTGTCGGTGGATCTCAAGTATTAATCTCATCTGTTGACCCCCATCTTCCATCATGTACTCATAGGTCTAGTGGCTAAATGGACCCATCAGTGGATCTTAAGTATTATTTTTGACCCCATCTTCCATCATGTACTCATAGGTCTAGTGACAAAATGGACCCATCAGTGGATCTCAAGTATTATTGTTGACCCATCTTCCTTCTTGTACTTATAGGTCTAATGACTAAATGGACCCATCAGTGGATCTCAAGTATTATTGTTAACCCCATCTTCCATCATGTACTTATAGATCTAGTGACTAAATGGACCCATCAGTGGATCTCAAGTATTATTGTTAACACCATCTTTCATCATGTACTCATAGGTCTAGTGACTAAATGGACCCATCAGTGGATCTCAAGTATTATTTTTAACCCATCTTCCATCATGTACTCATAGGTCTAGTGACTAAATGGACCCTCAGTGGATCTCAAGTATTATTGTTAACCCCATCTTCCATCATGTACTCATAGGTCTAGTGACTAAATGGACCCCTCAGTGGATCTCAAGTATTATTGTTAACCCCATCTTCCATCATGTTATGAAATAAAACTAAGAAAATTTCCCCTTGTCCTTTTTTTTTTTTTTTTTGGTTTTTTTTTTTTTTGTACGGAATTTAATTTTTTTTTTTTTAAGTTAAAGAAAACTTTTGTGAAACAAACCAATAGATTATCAATCATCTGACGAGCATTTTATAATAATAACATATTCTTAGGCATTTGATAAAACCTATTTAGTGTGCATGTACCTCCTATCTCTAGAGCATCAATTTATTCATGATGAAAGAAATCAATCTTAGAAAGTTACAGGCAAGTTTGGTAGCAAACCAGTTCTCTCATGTTGATTGTTTATAATAAAAATAAAAGCACAGTACAACTGGTACAACAACACAGTACAACTGGTACAACAACACAGTACAACTGGTACAACAACACAGTACAACTGGAACAACAACACAGTACAACTGGTACAACAACACAGTACAACTGGTACAACAACACAGTACAACTGGTACAACAAGACAGTACAACTGGTACAACAACACAGTACAACTGGTACAACAACACAGTACAACTGGTACCGCAACTGGTACAATAATACAGTCAATAAATTTGATGGAACAAATTAAAAAAAAATTAGTCATTTATTTCCCTGAATATTTCAAATTGAAATTTAGTTGTAATAAAAGAGGATGAGTGTACAGTTTCTGGTGTCCAGTCATGTCATGTCATTGACTGCAAATGAAGAACCAAGTGGCAACATGAAGTTCATGTACAGGAAAGTATCAGGCCAATAAAATTAAGAGACGAAATCATCGTCACTAATAACAATGGAACTCTTTTGTTCAGCACTACCATCCTCTGTTTCAGAGTTATAAGTGATCATTCTCTCCCTTCGTATTTTCTTTTGTGGTTTATCGGCCCTGCCCTCATCTGATTCATCAATCATTGCTGTATGTCTTCTTTTCTCCGCGCCTTTTTTAACCCCACTCACTTGGTCACTGTTCACAGTGTCAACACACAACACATTCTCTGACTTGGCTTTGCCCTCATCTTCATCAGCAAAGCTGAGATCAGAGTCAAAGGAGAGTCTGCCGCCAAGCGTTTCAGACTTGGTTGATGACTCAGGCTTGGTTGATGATGCAGACTTGGCAGTGTGTTTTGACTTTTTTAAAGATAGTATTGTTTTTGAAGATGACGATGCCGTGGGATCATGGAGGGAATCAAGTCTTTTCAAAGAAAGCTTGTCAGGGGCCGATGTTTTAGAACTCCGTTGAGCTATTTTTAAAGTTAAAGAGTTCGAAGACTCCGAGTTTAACTTTCTACAACTTTTTGTCTGAGATGTTGACGATAAATTGGTTGAAGAGGCAGAGTTGGAAGATTTTGTAGCGCCACCCACTGCATTGACATCTAAACAAACTCTGGCTATGTTGTTACGCAGTAACTTGGCCTTCGGTCCTGAATAAGAGCAAGGAGTCTTAGTGGCAAATAACAAATGTAAAACCTTAACAGTGATTAACAAATTTTTTTTAAATGTCCTGAAGCCGATTTGAAAGTCTAATTACATAACTGAAAATAAAAGCAATTATAAAAAATAATTTAATAAAACTATAAACCTATTATATGTATTTCTTGAACATCCTTAGGCTTTGGACCACATGAATTGCAATGTCAATCTCATGACCATTTATGGTGTTAATAAGATGAACAATTACACCAACCAACCTGGCAGAATGTAACAAACAGTTGCAGCAACCAACCTGGTTGAATGTAACAATTACACCAACCCACCTGGCAGAATCTAACAAACAGTTGCAGCAACCAACCTGGTTGAATGTAACAATAACACCAACCAACCTGGCAGAATGTAACAAACAGTTGCAGCAACCAACCTGGTTGAATGTAACAATAACACCAACCCACCTGGCAGAATGTAACAAACAGTTGCAGCAACCAACCTGGTTGAATGTAACAATAACACCAACCCACCTGGCAGAATGTAACAAACAGTTGCAGCAACCAACCTGGTTGAATGTAACAATTACACCAACCCACCTGGCAGAATGTAACAAACAGTTGCAGCAACCAACCTGGTTGAATGTAACAATTACACCAACCCACCTGGCAGAATGTAACAAACACACCAACCCACCTGGCAGAATGTAACAAACACATCAACCCACCTGGCAGAATGTAACAAACACATCAACCCACCTGGCAGAATGTAACAAACACACCAACCCACCTGGCAGAATGTAACAAACACATCAACCCAACTGGCAGAATGTAACAAACACATCAACCCACCTGGCAGAATGTAACAAACACACCAACCCACCTGGCAGAATGTAACAAACACATCAACCCACCTGGCAGAATGTAACAAACACATCAACCCACCTGGCAGAATGTAACAAACACATCAACCCACCTGGCAGAATGTAACAAACACACCAACCCACCTGGCAGAATGTAACAAACACATCAACCCAACTGGCAGAATGTAACAAACACATCAACCCACCTGGCAGAATGTAACAAACACACCAACCCACCTGGCAGAATGTAACAAACACATCAACCCACCTGGCAGAGTGTAACAAACACACCAACCCACCTGGCAGAATGTAACAAACACATCAACCCACCTGGCAGAATGTAACAAACACACCAACTCACCTGACAGAATGTAACAAACACACCAACCCACCTGGCAGAATGTAACAAACGGTACTATATGCTGTAAAGTGAAAGTCTTCCTGAAGGTAACCGCTGACCAACATGTGAGCTAGAATCCTCTCGGCCTGGTTTTTATCCATTGTTGGGACGGAGACGGATTTCACCTAAAATAAACATTGAAACGGCAACTGATTCATTGAGGATTCTAAAATAATGTGTGTTGCATTGTCTCTTTATACTTAGTTGGTTTTTTTTTGTGTCGTCTGTTTCTTAGCCTGTAATCTCTTAAACAACTCACACTTACAAAGAAACGCTGTCAGGAATGATCTCCCATTTCTAAGCTTGCTGTCAGGAATGATCTCCCATTTCTAAGCTTACAAAAGAATGATAAGCCAGAATTTCTGGAAAGCTTTAAAACAGTGGTTCTCAACCTTCCTAAAGCCTCGACCGTTTGATACAGTTACTTATGTTCTGGTGACCCCCAACCATAAAATTATTTTCGTTGCAACATCCCAAATATGTTTTTAGATGGTCTTAGGCGACCCCTATGTAAGGGTCATTTGATCCCCAAAGGGGTCGTGACCCACAGCTTGAGAACCTCTGCTCTAAACATTAAGAACACCTTGAGGCTTGAAGCTCCCCGACCATATAAAGCCTCAAGCAATTTCACAAAGGTGACACGTTGTTCCGTAGAAGCCGCGGCATCCAAAATTGTGATAACATCCCGACAGTAATGAGTGACATCTTCTTTCATTGCACAAGTTCCTGTAACATCAAAATAAATAATGTTAAATTTTTTACAACCAAAATTTTAACTCATGTCTCAAGTCATTTCATCGGGTCATTTCATAAAGTCATTTCATTGGGTCATTTCATTCGGTTATTTAATCAAGTGATTTATTCATAAAACTATTATTTAAAAAAGGTAAAAGAAATAATCAAATGATACTTTCAATATTACCATAGCAAGCTAAAACTATAAGTCACATTGAATTTGATATGATACTTTCAATATTACCATTGCAAGTCAACACATTTATAACATTTTAATTTTTATTTTCCCGGTTACTTATTTTCAAAAAGGTTTTCAAACTTGGATCAGTTGTGTTTTAATAATCAACCGCCATCTTTTTTTTAAAAATAAAAATTAATGCAAAGAAAAAAATTTCCACTATTAGTATGAGAGGCACATAAACAAATGTTTAAAATTCTGCATACCCCTGTTCTTTTGGTTGTCACAATGGTCGCACATGCCGTCACACTGAGAACAGTCCCACACCTCACCAAAATGAAGAGCTATAATAGAGCGGCGACAGCTAAAGAAATGCAAATGTTTTCAACAAACATAATGACACGTCAGCTTAGCACAAAATAATTAGTGGACACCATTGTTTTATTTTGCTTCATAAATAAAGCACGTTCGAGACTTGCCCACCGACCTGGCCACCGGACTCTGGAATAGAAAGCTTGAGTTACTGTCTAAATTGTTCTTATTAGGTCCTTAAGTTTTCTCCCATTTCTTGCAAACGTTTCTGCTCAAACAAAATCAACCATCAACTCTTTCTTACTCATGCAATGTATACTTTGTCACTGACTGCCTACCTGCCTTGAAGGAATAATTATCTAAATAAATAAGATAAGAATTAAATAAGAATAAAATAAGAATTATTTAATCTTCTCTCTGATGACATAAATTAATCTTCTCTTTGATGACATCAATTAATTAATCTTCTGTTTGATGACATCAATTAGTTAATCTTCTCTTAGATGACATCAATTAGTTAATCTTCTCTTAGATGACATCAATTAGTTAGTCTTCTCTTTGATAACATCAGTTAAAACAAAATTAATGAAGAAAAATTTGCTGATGACATACCGGCTGACATCAATGCAGTACTTGACAATGCCATGCAGATTGCCTAGGCCAGTCTGCTCTGTGAAGACCATGGAGCTCTGCCTCATGACATCAGCCAGTCTGTAGAAAACTATACAGTCAGATCTTTGACCGTCTCTGCCTTCAAGAATGCAAGGACGTATAAAATCAGGACTGTATTTAATAGCATTGACGTGAATAGCCTTTGAGTTTTAATTTCTATTGTTTCCAGGCACATTTTACAAAAAAAAAAGAAAAAATAAAAAAAAAAAAAAAAAAAAAAAAAAAAAAAAAAAAAAAAGGAAACAATACATAAATGTGATCCTGTAGTCTCTCCCACAGAATCGGCCCATAGACAGAATTGGTTGCCTAGGCAATTGCTTCAATCAGCAGTTGGTAAATGCATGCCTGCTGGCTAATTAAATCATACCGGTACTAATTAGTTAGACTAGGGCTCAGCAAAACTCTCCGTTGTTTCAATGAGCAGAGTCCATGACAACAGTCGAACTGACCTGCACGTCCACTCTCCTGATACAGGTTCTCCATGGACTTGCTGATGCTGTGATGGATAACAAATCTGACATCTGGCTTGTCAATCCCCATTCCAAATGCAACGGTTGCCACAACGATCTGAAATAGCCATTTATGAATCAAACCTGGCCACTGAATGGTTCATCTTTCTTGTGTACTATTGTGTTTGCAATGAATCAATCCTAGAAACAGATGTATTAACCCACCAACTGTCCATGTTATTTTTTCAGCTTTCATGCACCTACTCTAGCAAGACCCCCATAAAGTATATATTTATTGACATTAGACTGAGTGGCTAAGAATAAAGAAAATAATGAAAAGATTTCTTTTCAACCTCAAACTACAATTTTTAAAAGGCATATTACTATAATGTTTATTTAATATGATAGCATTTGTATTTATCTTTCAGAAAATGTGTTATTTGTATATGTTTTAGCTATAAATAGATTAAAAAAAACAACAAATTCTTCTGATACGACAAAGCACGACATAAACAATACAAACATTACTAAATAGCAAGAAACAGATAAAATGTAAAAAGCTGCTATATCAATATTTAATCCATCAAATGAAATAAAAGAAAACATATATAGAACAACATCCAATTATTTTTATTTTTTTGTTGGTGCACAATCATCTGCAACATAGTTTTGAACAAGTCCTGTTGTTGCGGCAACGCCTACACGTTCTAGGCCTAGGTCTAAATCGTCCGAACTTTCACTTTTTGGCCTTTAAGCATACATTTCAAATGTTAACTGATCTAAAAACTAACACAAAGGGGCTAATGTACAGAGCAGGTACCTGCACTTTGTTGTTATAGCTGAATTAAGTCATACTTTGATCAGGTTAAGTTGATAATTAAGGTTTCTTCAGATTTTTCAACCTGTCTTTACTGTTTGATCATGATATTTTATTGTAATGAAAGGTTGGAAGAAAATATCAACACCAGTGCACATAAAAAATGATTCTCTGTGATCTATCCTTTCGAGGCAAACCTTTCGTTATAGGTTTTCGCATTTATTCCATCTAATGAAAACTTGAATTTGTGAATTTGTCACAGTAGACTGTAACTGTAATTATGTCTTTCCATATTATCTCAGCTTATATCTTCGGCACATAACATCCTCATCTCGTTGTACAAAATCCATTCATCAAGTCATCTCGAAGATTGTTATCCGTGAATCGTTTCACTGCAATTTTGCCGCCATCAAGATTGGTCCACAATAAAAAAATTTAGGCCAAAATCTTAATTGTTTCTAGTTGAGGCATTCCGATATCTGATAATGTCTTTAGGTGCTTTACTAAGTTGACTTTCATTCTTCTGGCAAAGACCTTGCCCTCCAGTTGTTTTCTTGTGGCCACAGTAACATTGACTAAGTTCAAAGAGTTATTAAATCAATGGTGTCTTTCACTTATAGATGACTTCTATAGGCCTGGTAGTAGATTATCTTGTACAATTCACACTTATCATTAAGCTGAGTGTCTTCAATACAGCCTCACTCTCTAGCTTCTTTTAATAGGAATTATCTTGTCAAGTCATGGCATTATTATCATCATCTGGAAAAACAAGAACAAATAGAGAAATCAATAAAAAAAATGAATGCATCAGTCCGTGGGGTGACTTTGCCCCCGGCTGTGAAAGAAAAGCAATACTGGGTAACGATTTATTCAACTTGAACTTAACCAACAAAATAATGAACCTTATTTTTTTTTAATCACTGAAATTTCAACAAATTAAATGCATAGGGAAATAAATTATAATACCTTAAAAGGAAAGTTTAAACTCACCATAAATCAGCAAAATATCTATGTCCTGAGTCTAAGAGCTCAAACTGTCAAATCTTATGGTTTGGCATGGTAAGGAAAGCGAAACCACATAAAGCAACATGTCTGCTTACGTAGGAAGTTCACAAATTAGGGGAAAGAACTCTTGAAAATCATGAGGAACAACTTTCTCAATACAAGTTTTTAATAGGCAAACTCACCCCTTGAGGCAAAGTCACCCCATTTCAGTATTAGGACATACATATCATACATTTTCCAATGATCTATATGTCTAAGTAATATTTACGTGAATATCCCCTGACAACCACTTCCGATGAACTTGACTGCGTGATTTGGGATCCATATCTGCATGGTAGCAACCAGCTTTGATGTTTCGAGACATAAGGTCGCTGGCCACTTCCTCTGAGTCTTTCCGTGAAAAGCAGTAAATAATTCCTGAAACATTGGATATTGTAAAACATTCATTTTAATTTTTGCTACTTTGATCTGCAATGTCTCATTGGTAGGGAGTAAATAATTCCTGTAACACCTGTCTTCTGGCACTGTTCCCCTTCTTTGTAAGTCAGCTGTCATCAAACCATTGCTTAAGAAGCCTGGTCTGGATGAAATTAATTTAAAAAACTATAGACCTGTATCTAACTTATTATTTGTATCTATAGTTATTGAAAAACTAGTTCTAAAACAAATTTTTGGTTACTTAAACGACCACTCTCTTCTCAGTCCTAATCAGTCGGCGTATAGACATTTCCATAGCACTGAGACAGCTCTCTTAAGAGTCACCAATGACCTCTTGCTTGCATTGGACAGCCGTGTTATCTCCATCCTGATCCTCTTAGATCTCAGTGCGGCCTTTGACACTGTTGACCAAGAAACCCTTTACGAACCTCTTGAAAATTACTTTGGAATTTCTGGTCCAGTTTTGGCTTAGTTTAGTTCATACCTCTCCGACAGAACGCAGGTGGTCGCTGTCAATGGCTGTCTCTCCGGCAGTGCTGACTTGGTGTACGGAGTGCCACAAGGGTCCGTTTTGGCCCGGTTCTATTCACATTGTATACCAGGCCACTGCTCCTCTTGCTTAAGAGGCATGCTGTTGAGAGCCAGTCATTCCCAGATGACATGCTGTTGAGAGCCAGTCATTCACAGATGACATGCTGATATACAAGCATAAAAGCTCTCTTGTCAATTCCACTGTTCAGAAATTGCGGGAGAGCATTGGTGATGTCAAGTTATTGATGACACTCAGCAAGTTGAAGCTTAACGATGACAAAACGGGAGCACTTCTCAATCACAATTCATCCTCTAACTTAGCTCTCCCCACTTTATTTCACTTAGGTAACTCCGATATACAGTATGTATTCTCTGCTAGGAATCTTGGTTATATTCTTTCTAACAACATGTCTTTCAATAATCATATCTCTCACATATGTCGCTCTGCATACACCGCTATTCGTCAGATCAGCTCCATCCGCCACTATCTCACAGTGCAACAAAAACCCTAGTCTGTGCTCTTGTTCTCTCTCATCTTGACTATTGTAACTCTTTTCTATCAGGTTCACCAAAACATTTCTTAGAAAAATTACAAAAGGTTCAAAACTTAGCCGCTAGGTTAATTCAAAAGGCAAAAAAACGTGATCACGTTACACCACTACTTCATTTACTTCATTGGCTCCCTTTACAAGCACGGATTGACTACAAACTCTCTGTTCTCTACCACAACTTTTTCTCGGATTCCTGCCCTTACTATCTAACTGAACTTCTCTCTGTCTATTCATCCCATCGGCAGCTTTGCTCCTCCGCAGACACACATATTCTTTCTGTTCCCAAGACACGCACAAAAACATACGGTGAGGGATATTTCCCTTCCTGTGCCCCTAAACAATGGAATTCTCTTCCATTACACATTCGCAAGATACTGACCATCACAACCTTCAAATCTGCACTCAAAACACATCTTTTTAAACTCTGACTGAGCCTCCCCCCCCCCCCCCCCCCCCCCCCCACCCCCCCCCCCCACCCCCCACCCCCCTTCGCTTCCTGTTTTCCCACTTCCGGAGAGACGAATGAATACTGCTTGAGTTTTCTACTGTGTTCTTTTCTTTGTTGTATTTTCATTTCTATTGTTGGCTGAGGAAGGCTTTATGCCGAAACGTCCTTGTTTTTTGTCCTGTTACCTTATTTCAAGCTTCCACATACCTCTATTCACTATTTCATTCACTTGACATGTCAATAGTTTTGGAATGGGTGGAGTCAATATGGGTGGAGTCAATATGGGTGGAGTCAATATGGGTGGAGTCAATATGGGTGGAGTCAATATGGGTGGAGTCAATATGGGTGGAGTCAATATGGGTGGAGTCAATATAGGTTTGTTTTTGTTTTGTTGTTATACAGTTGTTTTTTTTTAAATTAAATAAATGTAGGTTATTTTTTAATGTCATGGTTATCTTTGCTAATATTTTTATCTGCAGCGCAGTGAGTCCAGCCCTAGGCTGTGGTACCGCTCTATATAAGACTACTGTAATAATAATAATAATAATAAATTATAAATCATTCCTTTGATCTGTTTCAGTAATTTGAAACTATTATTTGAATAGGTCAAACCTAATTTGTATATTTGTGTAGTCAAGTCTCATTGGTAGGGAGTAAATGATTTGATTGTTTGACCCGTGTGTAACTTGAAGTGTACACGAGTCCACTCTACACGCCAGCTGCTGTAGGCAAATATTGCATGGAGTTGGGAGTGGGGGGGTGTTGGGGGAGCCTAGCCATAATGCACAGAAATTTTAATGAGCAAGTCTGAAAAACACTAAGTTGATCATCGAGGAGAACAATCCTACCTGACTGGCCTTTGAAACGACGATTTATTAGTCGGTGTATGGCGTCCATTGTGTCTTTAGCCGTGGAAGGTTTGTTTTGAACCTAGGAATGAATTGAAAAGATGTACTCAACAGTAAATTGGGATTTGAATTTTTTAAAATGTTATTTTTAAACGCACATTTACTTTGTTGCATATTCATGATAAAGGTATCAACAAGAAAACAAAACTTGAAATGAAGGTTGGAACAAATTTTGATTGTTTAAGAATTCCCAAATGTGTTGCTATCAAGCAGAGAGTTGATATGATGAGTGTTAACAACTGAAATTAATTAATCCCATCCAATCAAGTCCATTTAAAAGTTGTTATTTTATTTTTGATTTATAAATCCAGTACAAGAGATACTTACCTCATAATACAAATTAGGTCTGTTGAATGAGGCTCTGAACAAGACAGCTTTGGGTATATTTAATATTTTCTTAACATCTTCAAGAACACTGACGGTGGCTGTTGCTGTTAAACCAATTATTGGGGAATTGGGAAATTGACGTTTCATAATTCCTAAAAACTTGTAATCTGTAGACAAAGAAATATACGTCATTGACAAAATTAAATGTAACTGGGGGTAAAAATGAAATAAAATTTTAATGTAACTGATGTTAAGTTAACTTTCAACTGGGCGCATGAGACTAAAACACTAAACAAAATTAAAACCTTGAAACATGTAAAAAAAAAAATTAAAAAATCCTAAATATTGAAGATGCCCTTTTTACCACTGTGGAAAAAAGGGAAAAAGCTGTTGTACACTAATAGTCATACTAATGCAGACCAATCATTTTGCTAATGTAAGCCAATAGTTATACTAATGTAAGCTTGCTGGCATCCGTCCGTCACAATGTGACGATGGTGCGAACTTTGCAGGACAAAATCCACAAGGCCTGGGATTATTCTTCAAGGATTATAAGCTGGTTCCCAACAGCAAATCGCCTTTCTCCACGCCACTGGATAACCCAAGGGAACATCATTTGGATGATACAGCTTAACACCAGTGGTGTCGCAGGAGTTGTCGCAATGTTCCATTGTACCAATGTTATCCCGCCTACGGGACTCCATCTCCGGGTTTGAATTCAGAGTTTCCTTCTCTTAGATGAGTTGCCATCCAAGGTTAACGAGTCCATCCACCCGGGGTGCTGGTGATGTTTTTGCTTAACTGGCCTTTGGCTGGAATTGAACTGCAGACCACCAACTTGAGATTTTGCTCAGTTAAGACCACTCGACCACCCACCTTATAGTTATACTAATGTAAGTCAATAGTTATAATGATGTAAGCAGACCTGTTTACCCTCAAACTCTTAAAATCGTACATCATCACAAAAATGTTTCAGTTTCAATACGTTATATTTATAGTAAAAAATAAAGATATAGTATATACAATCTATACACCTCAAAATCGTTCATTGTATGCCAAAATCGTAAGAGTAAACAGGTCTGTGTAAGGTAAGAGTTATACTAATGTAAACCAAAATCATTATACTAATGTAAGCCAATAGTTATAACGATGTAAGCCAATAGTTATAACGATGTAAGCCAATAGTTATAACGATGTAAGCCACTAGTTACACTCATCCAAGCTACTGGGTATGATATTTAGAGAATTACTTTACAATGACAAGAATTTAAAATACCTGGTCTAAAGTCATGACCCCATTGTGAACAGCAGTGAACTTCATCAATGACGATTCGAGCCAGGTGATTAATACCATAGCACTTTTCAAGACGATTCATGAACCGCTTGCTTTTTGCTAACTTTTCTGGTGTTACATAGAGCAGGCGCAGTTTTCCTTTAGGGTTTACCATGTCGTCCTAAACAAAAACAAACATATTTATTTCAGTGCTGCTATTTGATAGAAATATGTTGAATCAAAAATGTGCAGCTTAAGTTGTCTGTATGTGGAAACATTAAATTTGTGCAGCTAAAGTAAGCTACATGTGAAAACATTAACTGTATTCACTGGGATAAATTAATAATCTTTATTATAACCTTCTTATATGTAGAAAATGAAAGGGTGACCACAATAAAGATAAATCTTGCCTGGACATATTTTTCTCTTTCTTTGCCCACTGAGGCATTTAAAATTGCAGAAGATATACCAAGTTCTTCAAGCGCCATCTGTTGGTCTTCCATGAGGGAAACCAAAGGAGAGACAACCAGAGTTAGCCCTAGTACAACAGAAAAAACACACACACTTATTTTAGTGATGCACAATGCTATGAAGCAAGGGTTTTCAAACTTTTATTTCTCTGAATATTTATTTTCATTAAGAAATCAAATATTCTTCAAACTGTTTATTTTAATCTTAAATTATTCAGGGAATCTGGGTTTAAAAAAAGAAGTTTCTATTCTTTAAATACATTTCATTAAATAAATAACAATATTACTGTTTTACATGATGCCATTGCTGATATTTAGTTATTGATACTGTCTGGGCATTTTGCTGATATTTAGTTATCGATACCGTCCGGGCATTTTCCTCATATTTAGTTATCGATACCGTCTAGGTATTTTGCTGATATTTAGTTATAGATACCGTCTGGGCATTTAGCTGATATTTAGTTATAGATACCGTCTGGGCATTTTGCTGATATTTAGTTATCGATACCATCTGGGCATTTTGGTGACATTTAGTTATCGGTACCGTCTGGGCATTTTGGTGACATTTAGTTATCGGTAACGTCTGGGCAAGAGGGCTGTTAACAAAATGTTCCTTAAGAATTAAGATTTAAAAAAAAAAAAAAACTTGTATCACATGATACAGATGATGTTTGTCACATGACACAGATGACATTTGTCACATGACACAGATGACATTTGTCACATGACACAGATGGCATTTGTCACATGACACAGGTGACAATTTTCACCTTTCTTATATTTATTTCACTAAGAAGACTATAAAATAGTTTCTAGCTTTACAAAGTCTGAAAGTAAAACATGACATGCCTTTGTCAACAAGTGCGGGTAGCTGGAAGCAAAGACTCTTGCCACCGCCAGTTGGCATTATTAACAGGCAATCTTCTTTGGCAAGAGTGGCGTTCATTGTCTGGCGCTGCATGGGGCGCAGCTCTTTTATTTTAAAGACAGAATGAAGCTTCTCATCTAAATCTGATGTCCATGGAAAATCTGAAACAAGCAGGTTAGTTGTCTTTTAGCTGACCAATTAAATGTAAGATACAGTCACCAATTGAACTGAACAATTCTATAATTAAGAATTTAAAAAAAGACAAATCAATGAAGGCTCTACATTCTTATTTATTTGAACCAGTAGCAGTGGATTGAATTATTTGTTTGATAAAACAGAAAATAACTATTCCCCTCTAATTTTAATATTTCCATGCTTACTATGTCAAGGCCATTTCTTGGGTGATCAGCCTGCAATTTGATTCACTAAGGTGATTCAATTAAACACTAGTTTAACTTGGGTAATATTTGATTTACTAGGGTGATCAATGAGACATTAGTTTAACTTAGGTAATATTTGATTCACTAGGGTGATCAATGAGACATTAGTTTAACTTAGGTAATATTTGATTCACTAGGGTGATCAATGAGACATTAGTTTAACTTAGGTAATATTTGATTCACTAGGGTGATCAATGAGACATTAGTTTAACTTAGGTAATATTTGATTCACTAGGGTGATCAATGAGACATTAGTTTAACTTAGGTAATATTTGATTCACTAGGGTGATCAATGAGACATTAGTTTAACTTAGGTAATATTTGATTCACTAGGATGATGAATGAGACATTAGTTTAACTTAGGTAATATTTGATTCACTAGGGTGATCAATGAGACATTAGTTTAACTTAGGTAATATTTGATTCACTAGGGTGATCAATGAGACATTAGTTTAACTTAGGTAATATTTGATTCACTAGGATGATGAATGAGACATTAGTTTAACTTAGGTAATATTTGATTCACTAGGGTGATCAATGAGACATTAGTTTAACTTAGGTAATATTTGATTCACTAGGGTGATCAATGAGACATTAGTTTAACTTAGGTAATATTTGATTCACTAGGATGATGAATGAGACATTAGTTTAACTTAGGTAATATTTGATTCACTAGGGTGATCAATGAGACATTAGTTTAACTTAGGTAATATTTGATTCACTAGGGTGATCAATGAGACATTAGTTTAACTTAGGTAATATTTGATTCACTAGGGTGATCAATGAGACATTAGTTTAACTTAGGTAATATTTGATTCACTAGGGTGATCAATGAGACATTAGTTTAACTTAGGTAATATTTGATTCACTAGGATGATGAATGAGACATTAGTTTAACTTAGGTAATATTTGATTCACTAGGGTGATCAATGAGACATTAGTTTAACTTAGGTAATATTTGATTCACTAGGGTGATCAATGAGACATTAGTTTAACTTAGGTAATATTTGATTCACTAGGGTGATCAATGAGACATTAGTTTAACTTGGGTAATATTTGATTCACTAGGGTGATCAATGACAGTTTAACTTCTGTCATTTTTCTTTGAACTGCTTTATCTTCCCTACCTGTTCCTTCCCAATGAACGTCTTTCACCTGTTTCTTATCAGCCTCACGGTGTTCAAGAATTAACCTTAACTCTCTTCTTTTGTCCAGAAGAATTGTCTGTCTTTCCAACAACTCTTGCAGTTCTACTTCCAAAACAGCCAACTCCTGCTCCACTTCAGCTAGTTCTTTCTTAAAATCTAAAAAATGTATCATTAAAAAGGTATAATCAATTTATGATTTCATAAGCAAGCCAATAAGTTTCAGTTATTATATTAGTAGTTCACGGCTTCTCCCATTGCTTTAAACAGACAAAAACTGATGCAGATTGATGATGTGGTCGACTGATGCAGATTTGATGATGTTGAGTCGGATAAAGTGATGTAGCCCTTCATGGCTGTTGTGCCAGTGATGATGATTTGAGTTAAAGATAGCATCAACTTAAACTCTGAATTACTGCAGCTTTCAGCGGATTAACATTACTTCTGTCTCTAGCTTTTAATTTAAACTCAAATTAATCAGATCAGGGCCTACATACTTAAAAGACATGTCATATTATTATAGTTATTAGTATTAGTATTAGTAGGGCCTATCTACTCTATTATTGTGATTTTACTTTTACTAGGCCTACTTTTTAAGTCTATATTTTATTTCGCGTTATGGATAATAAAGCAGCTATAAGGGCACAGGTGGTGAACAATGGCATTTATGGGTCTTTGGACAGAGACATCTCTGTCAGCATGAAAGCAAAGATCACATTTATTGTGCAAAAGAACAGCAAATGAAAATCTTGTGCCAAACTTTCAACAAGATGTTTGTATTGCTCAAATCTCTGTTATAGAGTTTTTCGTTTAAGACAAATGTAGGATGTAAATGCATGGACGAGGGTTGTGAGAATTCTGGTGGGCTTTGGTTGCATTTCGGACACTTGACACTTGGTCTCTAAAAATTGAAATATGCACCATCCGTTTGTTAAGGATAATGGCTAATGGTAGGCCTACATATAATTATTAATAAATAGCCTCACGAGCTAATATTTAAAATCTAATAATAATAATAATAATATTTAATAATAATTAAGTCAATTAACACTTCTACTCGGTGGTGTAGAGAGAGGGGTGTAGGGGGTGCAGACAGCACCGGGTGACATCATCTCTGGGGGTGACATCAAGTCATTTACAGAGCACACACTGCTAGATCTAACCCAATTTCATGAAATAAATGGATTCAACGCCGATTAAAGTGTTTGATAACTTTCGTAAGTGACAGGAAGTTATATTTATCTACATTCTGGGAAATATAGCATTCAGTTTCAGTTGAATCCAAATACGATCTGGTCAGGCAATTTTAACTAGGCCTACATGAATCAAATTCGTAAAAATTAAAAACATAAATTTAAAAAATGACTTTTTACCCATTTATAGGGTAGGCTAAACAAAATATTATTTGATAAAACTTTCTAATATCTTTGAATAATTAATTTACATTTGTTAAAATTTTTAGAAAAAGGTTTTTGCAACCTAATCCAAACATAGAAATACTCAAAAAGTAATATTTTCCCCGACTCGCACCACCCTTTAACTGGTTAACTACCACGAGCCGCTGGTAGCGCCAATGTTAGTATCGTAGTAAATTAAGTCAAATATTTATATTATTCCGTTCCCATTTCGCTTCGAGATTTTAATTTACCCACCGGATGTTTATATTCGAAACGCATGCTATCGGCAGAATGTTTTAAAAAACTAAATGTTAATTAGTTTTTATTTAATTTCCTATCTGGTTACAAAATAGTACATGTTTACCGTAGCAACAAGTGACAGGGTTACTAAAGTCATATAATTGATTGGAAGTGTAAATATTTTTCGATTTCTGTGTTCTTTGGTGCATTTTTCTTATTATTGGATATACTATTTGGAAACAACCAAATAAAAGTCTTTAAATTATTTGGAAATTTAAAATTTATACGTAAGTTGGCACATCAATAATATATATTTTTATTGTTTTTCTATTGAAAATACTAATTTAACAATTAATAATTTCCTAACAAAACTTAAATTTACAAATGTTTTAAGTTTATATTATAGATTATTCAATTACCTACAAAATGGTTTATTAATCATTAGAAAATTTTTATAATTAAGAAAACTGCAGCTGAAATTGTACATTCATACACCTAAAATGAAAAAAATGTGACCTAGATTTAATTCCGCCAGTGGGTTTTTCAATGTGTTAGTTAATCAGTTAAGATTTGAGCATCACTGATATGTTTGCAGGTATGATGACTAGGAACTGAAAGTTTAAAATACAGTAAATTGACACCAACTCGACTCTAGTCTAGTAGCCTTTTTAAAGTTTTAAGTTTTTAACTCTGTAAGTAAGGTTTTTCGAAAACGAACCATTATTATTATATAAATTAAAATTAGTAGTCGTAGGCCTGTCTCAGCTCTAGGCTGAATTAATTAATTAAGTGGTTACATTGAAATAAAAACCAACCATCCATGCCAATAAAATCCAAAAGTTACTTCAAGTGTTAGGCTTTCACTTTCAGCTCTAGTGATGAGAATTAAATTGGTTTAAAAAAAAATTTGTATGCTCGAGTATATGGCAAGCCTAATTACCCCCCTTTAACAGAGTTCAAAGCTACCAGCCGAGATGGGTAACTTAATCGCTGGTAATCAAGACCGAATTAGTGATAACAATTTTGTTAAACACTTATTTCCGCGCTTGATATTGTTATTTTAACTTTAAAATACGTTTTTAAGCTTCATATATTGATTTTTACTGTTCCAAAAAGGAGTTAAAGCTACAGTATATGTTAAAAGCGTAATTTAACACATTTTCTTCCACCCGAATTCCTACCAGTTGGTAGCCTAGCTATCAACAAGAATAAGAAGACTTTACAGTGGGCCTACATTATTTTATCCCTCTTGACTCAGGTGTGATAGTCCTGACCTCAGAGTGTCATTGAACATATTTTGCTTCAACAAAAATCCTATCATAAGAATATTCTTTCTTAGTGTATTAATTTTTCATACTTCAAAGACAAATTTAGCTCATTCATGCGTTATGGGCCGTCCTCAAAGTACGTCAAGCTCCGGAAAAAAAAAGGGGGGGGGGGGGGGGCGGTCCCGGCTAGGGGCACACTTTTTTTATTTGTTTCAAATTATTATTTTTTAAAAAATCATACAATCATATGAACTTGAAATTGACAGCGATGTTAATCGTTCTGATGTGATGGTTGTATTCGGACAGTGACAAAAGATGTCATTTTCATAAATTATTTCATAGTGTAGTAATGAAATTTACAATCTTTTAGTTCGAAAGTGTAACGTACATTGGGGCGGGGGAGTCTGAGATTTGTGACAGATTGTGACATGGGAGAGGGGTTAAAAGTTGTCAAAAACTAACGTGACGTACATTATGGACGGACTCTCATTCGGAGGTCGCCACAAATATAATACGGTTGAAGCCATACCAATCAGCCCAATATAGTATATGGTCCAACATCATTTTAATCGGCTGAACTCTCTGTACTGGTGAATATGCCGCCAACCAACGTCCCATTGCAAATCTAAAATAGTTGGCACTCCGAGCAGAGGCGTAGTGAGGGTGTTTGGCGCCCGGAGACAAGATTCGCGCCCGGAGACAAGATCAATTTTAAAGCTCCCCTTTTCTTTTGTTCAACTCTGAAACCCATTATTTTTACCAATAATATAATATCAAAGCACATTTTGGTGCCCCTAATAATCTGGCGCCCGGGGACATCTGTCCCCCTTTCCCCCACTCGCTACGCCTCTGACTCCGAGTTCGGGCAGTCTACAATAGTCGGCACTCCGAGTTCGGGCAGTCTACAATAGTCGGCACTCCGAGTTCGGGCAGTCTACAATAGTTGGCATTCCGAGTTCGGGCAGTCTACAATAGTCGGCACTCCGAGTTCGGGCAGTCTACAATAGTTGACACTCCAACAGTTTCCTAGAGGGTGGGGGTGGATGCATTTCAGATGTTGAAGCGAGCAGGGCCAGGGGCGTAGGAAGAGGATGGAAGGGGTTATCTGTCCAGTTGTCGATTTTTCAAATCTTTTTTTTATATAGAGGGCGGCATTTTTGGATAACTGCAGCGTTTGTACCTTGGATGAGACCGCAGAAAACTCTAGACCCGCTCAGGACAGCACTACACTAGCTACGCCACAAAGCACAGTATCTACCAGCATCAAAATTGGCCATCAGGGAGCCAGCTATACCATCATTGTTATCGGGAAGTGGGTCAGAAATCGAGGGTGCCGATATCTTCTGAGCGAAATGGGGAATGCTTGATTATTTCAAAATCCAGTGTGCATTTGACCTATATCCGAATTGATTGTTTCTACTCGACCAGTTTTTGCCAACCTTTTTGGCGCATCGCTCCGGCACCTAAGTCTTTCTCAAATTCCTATGCCCCCCCCACGCCCCCCCCCTATGTTATAGATATTTTACAATTTAAACATTGAATGTAATCTCAATAACTTTGAAAACTAAATGACAGGTTTTAGGCAGAAGGAAAAAGGCTTTAGGAATGATTAAGATTTACGAAGAAATTTATCAGGAAACTCAGTAAGTAAATTTTTAAAACATAATGGAGAACTGTCATTTAATGGACGAAATGCCAGATTTTCTCAACTATTTTTAACTATCCATCATTTCATTTATTATTCATTATTTTATCATTTAAAATGCAATGAGAGATCAAATACAGTTTGAGATGACTAATTTAGGGAGATGCATAAGAAGACATGAGACATTTACAAAGGACATTATATATATTGTGTGATTTTTATCTGAAGGAAATCGTATAAATATTTAGTATACATTTCCCAATATTCAAGTGAATCACTTGATTGAAATGTTTATATTGGAATTTCCAACTGCTATAACTTACCAGATAATTAATGGCAAAATGAACTTTTCGAACACTCAAACAATTTTCTTTTTAAATTAATGATTAAAAAAAAATATATATATATATATTTTTTCTCTAAAATTGAAATTAAAAAATAATTTTTTAAAAAAGAAAAAAGAAGGTAATGGAATGGGCATGATAATCTAAATGATAGTTGATCAAAATTATCAATTGGATTCTCATCAAGAAAAAAAAAGATTTAAAATTAAAAAAAATTTTTTTTTAAATGCGTGGAAATAGGTGGGGCAGTTTGTTTAATATTCTGAAATTAAAAAAAATAGGACAACAGTTGAGAACTTAAAATATATTATAGGCTACAGTCTTTAAAATTCCTATCTGTCTATATGGAAATGGTGCCCCCAAAGTTGCCCATTGAAAGAAAATATGAGCGGTTTGTTTGCACATAAGACATTCTTTAATGTTTGTTAAAATGTAAGATGTATACATTTCTTAAAATTTTCATTTGATCTAATTCAACATTCATAGAATCGATACATTATAACAATAGCTCTTTTTTTTAAAAGCATGATGCCATCATACAATTGATACTTATCACTCCTCTCTCTCTCTCTCTCTCTCTCTCTCTCTCTCTCTCTCTCTCTCTCTCTCTCTCTCTCTCTCTCTCTCTCTCTCTCTCTCCCCCTCTCTCTCCTAATACTACTACTATTTTTAAAAAAAAATATGATTTATCATGAAATACAATTTTGAAAACCCATTGACCATTTTTTTATTCTTAAGCAAGAACTATATTGAAATTATAGACCTTTATATTGATGAACTCGTAAAATTGCACTGAATGAATAAAGTATTTCAAAATATGCCAACAAAGGGAAGTAATACTTTGGTTTATTCAGAATTGTGACCACTAAAATAACATATGTGCCAACTTAAATAACATATTATGTGCCAACTAAAATAACACGTGTCATCTAAAATAACATGTGTGCTAACTAAAATAACATGTGCCAACTAAAATAACAAAAGTTCCAACTTAAATAACATATGTGCCAACTAAAATAAACTATGCGCCAACTAAAATAACATATGTTCCAACTAAAATAAAATATGCGCCAACTAAAATAACATATGTGCCAACTAAAATAAAATATGCGCCAACTAAAATAACATATGTGCCAACTAAAATAAAATATGCGCCAACTAAAATAAAATATGCGCCAACTAAAATAACATATGTGCCAACTAAAATAACATATGTGCCATTCGCACAGGAATTCGCCTCCCCCTTCCAATTATGGTCCGACCCATTTAGATGTCTGAGGGACAGTGAACTGGCCTCCTGTGGGAGAGTGAACTGGCCTCCTGTGGGACAGTGAACTGGCCTCCGGTGGGAGACTGAACTGCCCTCCTGTGGGACAGTGAACAGTTTGAGGACCCTCTGGTTTAAACCAAGTTATTTATAATCTAGGACTCGATGGCGTAATTATCGTTAGATACTTTCATTTTTTGAGGGGAATACTTTGGTCATTATTTTTTCTTATATTCTAAATTACTTAATAAATGATAGTTCATTGATAAAATGTTCACAATAATAATGTTACATTTTAAAGACAACACAATAAACAAAGTAAAAACATATGTGTTATCATTGAACTACGTGCTTCCAAGAGTCAGGTCACCATCAAGGTAACAAAGGGTACCACCAGGACATCATCAGGGCACCACCAGGGCACCGGCAGGCCACCTTTTCAACATCTACACCAGATTTTCCTCCGAGTTTTTCTTTAAACCTAGAAAAGATTGCTTCCATTCTGAGTGCAGGATTTCCAGTAAATCCAAACACGTCTTGTATTGGAATGCAACTCCTTCATTGAGTTGTGTGTAAATGACAGAAGGTTGTCCCCACTCACTTGTTTAATGAAGTGGTCTTATCTCATTGGCAATGCTTTCACATGTGTTACATCTGTCAGGACGTTAAAGGGATATTTCTTTTCAACATCGTTGAGCTCTGGCTCGGTACCTATTTTGTTTGTTTCTGTTTTGTTTTTTCGTTTGTTGGTATTGTTCTGTTTCTCTGTTTGTTTTTTTTTTTTGTTATTATTTTTGTTTGTTTGCTCGTTTGTTGTTATTGATTTTTTTGTTTGTTGATTATTTTCGAAAGCGTGAAAACAGAGACCTGATGTCTTAATGGTAGATTCAATTCTTGCCATGAGTTTCTGATAAATAGACAGATCGGATAATATTCATGGTTGACAAATGAATGCCATAATCCACCACTGATTAAATACACACACGAACAAATCAAAAGTTATATCCCTTTATTTAAAGGTCCTCAGTTCACTAAATTGACGGGGCACTTCAAGTAACATGGTTGAGTGTAGTCCCACGAGAACAGCGGTTCTCAACCTGTGGGTTGTGACCCCTTTGGGGGTCGAACGAGCCTTACTCAGGGGTTGCCTAAGACCATCTTAAAACACATATTTATGTAGTAGCATCGATAATAATGTTATGGTTGGGGGGTCACCACAAAATGAGGAACTTATGAAAGGGTTGTGGCGTTAGGAAGGTTGAGAACCACTGCACTCGAAAGTAACGGGGGAATGTAGTTGTAATAATGACAAGTCCATAATTCTACCCCCTTCACTTTCAAAAGGTTTAGAATTCAAATGTAACACTATCATGCAAAACGGTGTAAGCCTCTCAAT